AGGGCCGTGAGCGGTTAATGCTGTGTTGGGTTTCCAAGGGCTCCTTGAAAGCTGAGACCTGCAGCCTCCCCCTCTTCCCTCCCCGGGAACAGGAGGTGACCATCTGGTAGCAGTTTAGAGAAAGTCAGCGCGCTCAAACGGCACCATTGTATCGTGTGAAATAACGGGGCGCCTGCCTGCCCCCAGTCCCATAAGGCTCTTATGCGTCAAAAAACCCAAGAAAAGCTTTTCGTGCTTAAGCAAGCAAGCAAGCCTAACCCCAGGGTTACAGAGCCCACATGAGGGGCAGAGGATGTTTAATGGGAAGCAGTTGGACGCTGGGGCTGCGGCAGAGCCCCAGGCTCCGGTTGGGAAGCGGGTCCCGGCAGAGCCAGCATCCCTCGCTGTTTATTTTGGTTTCCTCCTGAGCTCTGTGCATAGAGATTTCCTTGTATAAAGCATCCCCTCAACTCTTACTTGGGCATTCCGTTTAAAAGAAGAAGAAAGGATGAGCAGATGTTCCCATGTTGACCCACCCTGGGTGCCACAGGGGGCCCCAGAGCTAGGAGTGGGATGAACTGGGATGGACGTTGTGCTGTGCAACCCCAGTGCTTCCAACTTCAGCCATCCTGGTTGGAGAAACCAACTGCCCGCTGGGAGATGCGGAGCCCTTGGGCAGGAGCCAGAGGCCTTCATGGCATCTGGGCACCCTTGGCTTGGCTGGGACCCCAAAGGAGGGACTCACCTTCAGGGAGTGGAGCATGTGGATAGGAAGCCCCAGCCATGCCACTTGCTTGTGATTTCTCTGGAAAAAATCTTGGCTGTTGTATGAGCTACTGGGATTTGAACCAGACCTCTGCCCTCTCTTCTCAATTTGCAAGATTCCTAAAGAGCAGCTTTAACTGGTGACGTGTGACCTGCTGGTCCCTGGCCACGGAGTGCCTGGGAGGACGTAGTGACCACACTGCACAGAGACATCCCCAGCACTGCAGCACAGGATAGAGAGACACGTGAATATTTTGCTACTTCTCAGGCCCTGCGCTTCCTTGGGGAGTGTTGGAGGTGAGGATGAAGGCGTGCGTTTCTTGCCCCAGAGCAGCTGGCAGGGACCAGGTTTGGCTCCAGACTGGTGGTTTGCAGGAACTGCTGCCGTTGTGCACAGCCAGTAGAGCTTCCTGCACAAGGTGCCATCTCAGAAAGCCCGTGCCTCCCCCATCTACCTGGATGAATATTGGTATTTTTTAAAGCTGACCCTGCAGAGTGAGGCCACAGCTGTGTGATGCTAAGCAAAACCTTGAGGGGTTTGCAGAGATGTGGTCCTCCAAGGGGCACTGCAGCGAGCAGTTCCCAGCCGAGGCACAATGGTTGTGGGCAGAGGCTGACAGGGGCAGAGATTGCATCTGAAAATAAGTGCTTGGAAATCTCATTTTAGGAGATTTTGAGCTTTCCCTGCTGTGGGAAAGGAGCTGCTGCCTATAGCAATGTCAGCTTGAGCCGGAGCTGCCCGAATTGGTTTGGAATTGGTTAAAAGGAAGCACGTGTCAGTGGTAACGCTCACGCCCGTGGCACAGGCACCTCCAAAGGAAGAGGAGGAAGGGCGATGCTCAGCACCTCCACCTCCTTCCCTGCCAGCTGCCTCCAGCATCAGCCAGCTGATGGGATGCTGCTGGTGCGGATGAGGAAACCCTGCTGAAGCCAAAAATCCCCTAGAAAATTTCACAGTGGGGATAACCCTGCAGCGTGTGGTCATCCCAGACCCTGCCTCGGGGCCGGGACACCTTGGCCCAAGGTGTCAGGGACGTGTGGACCTGGAGCCCCACGAGGACCCGGAGCACAGGCGTGGGAGGGAGTGGGGTGCGGGGCCCCGTGGTGCTGCCCTGCCTTCGGCTCCCCTTGTTGCGATGAATCCGGCAGCTTCCTCACAGGAAGCTGGGAGGAGGGTCATCTGGAGCAGACGCTGTTTACTTTCCTTTCTTGGCTCTGGGCAGGACAAGTTATTTTTATGCTTTTTCTCTCTCTTTTTTTTTTTGAGCGTTGTTTTGCTTCCTGAGGTCCCTCATTCTACTCTGTGGAAGGAGCAGGAGAGAGGCGATGCGGGGCAGGGGAGCTGCAGCCATGCTCAGTCCCACCGGGAGCCACCGTTACTGATGGTGACATCCCCAGAGATCACGATCGTGGCAGTGGGTCTCTGTCTCAGAGTTAGAAACACAAACCCTACTGGTCACAGTCCCTCTTCTTTCTCGTGCCTGGGATGTTTAACCTTCTCCAGACCATGCTGCACTCGGGGCAGGGGCCAGATGTGCTGGCAGGACAGGCTGGGTGCCGAAATCTCTGCACAGCCAAAGTCAGGAGATGGACACCCTGTCCCACAGGGAGCCATGGGTGGCAAAGCTCTCGGCCTGTCCCCAGGCAAAACACGGACACTGTTGGGGAGGGAATGCTCCTGGGACCTGGGAGTCCTCATAATTGTGCTGTCAGTCACTGTGCTGAGCCGTTTCTAGCCCTCCCTTGGGGTAACAACTCCACACCCAGCCCCTTGGCACCCCCTTACTGCCCCTCAGAACCACAGTGCCAGCATGGAAAGCATTATTTGGATGTCTCGAGTCTCCTGCAGCTGTAATCATGGTTTTGCAGCTTTTTGAACTCCTTTGTGTCTGAGCTTTGACCTTTTTCTCCTTTCTGCAGCAGGGCCTAGAAACACCTGGAGAAAAGCCATTTTTGGGTGTTGTATTCAGTCCAGCCCTTCAATAAGGGCAGGGGATGGCTGTGGTCCAGAAAGACCGTGCTGGTGGTGTTGAGCAGGTTTATCCCAGGCTTGAGGCACTTCCAGAGGTTTGAAGTCAGAAGCAAGGGCCATGTGCAGCGGCTCCAGGGCTGCCACCAAGCGACCCAACGCTCGGTCACTGATGCCACCTTTTCTTTGGCAGTAGCAAGTGGCAGGGGGACTCAGGGGAGCTGAGATGATAGAAGTGGTTCACGTGGTGAATCCTGGAAGTCAGCAGGGCTGTTTGTGTCCAAAGCTCATTATCGGGTCAACTAAAAACGAGTCCCCAAACCACTGGGTATTGAGAAGTTTCCAAGGGGATATTCATTAAGGAAAGATGCTCGCTGGTGTTTCCTTTGCTATCGGGTTCCTTGAGAGCATTTACTTCCAGGGTGGACTCCAGGCACATCTGGCGTGAGGTTATTAGGCTGCTTTGTTGAAGGGGGTAAATGGAGACTGAGCTGGCCGGCTGGAAGAGGGATGGGCCTGACATGGACAGAACTGCGATCCCATCCATCAGGGAGCTGGCAGCTCCTGGCCAGGCCGTGTCCTGCTGCTTTTGCCCGCCTGACTTTGCTCAAGGCCAGGGAAAGGCTCCCCGTCGTCCCTTCCGCTCCCTTTGTTTTCCTGCAAAATGCAAACCGGGCTGGACCGATCCATTGTTTTAATGCATTTGGGGGACAAAAAATAGACCTGAGAGTTAGGGACAGTTCAGAACACCTCTGAAACATGGGACTCTTTTTGAGGGGAAGATTAATTGTTCTGGGGGTGCTGAGAGCTAAGACTTGCAATGATCGAGACGTGCCAAGCACAGAGCACAGGGCAGTGGTTGCCACAGAGAGCATCCTGCCTCTGCGAGCCAGCGGCGTCATAGGGGAGGGCTCTGCAGGGTTCAGAAAAAAGATAAAATGGAGGAAAAACATTTTTTTTTTTTCCTTTAGTGCCTCTCCTACCAAAGGCTGAATATTTTTGGGAGGCAGGGCAGGCCATTTTGTCTCTGAGTGCACTTCCTGGGTTTTACATGGTGGGTGGTGTTTTGTGCTTCTGTGCTTTCCTCTCTTTGTAGCCATAAAGTGGCCGTGGTGCTGTTTCCATCAGGTAAATATTGGGCGTGGATTGCCCGGTGCATCCCTCCCTGCCCACAGCAGCCAGGATTCCCTCCCTAGGAGGGAAGCACCCGTCACTTCCCTGCAGTTCCCGTGCCAGGATCTGAACCACAACTGGGGAACATGGTGTGTGTCCGTGCCTGTGTTTGTCCCCAAGCACGGAGAGACTCCCGGGAGGGGTTTTTGCTGGGTCACTAATACAGAGCATCCTGGGGAGGCTTCTGGTCCCAGCCCCTGCAGTGCCCATTCGGGCTGGTTTTGCAGCTTGGAGTTCCTGTTTAGCAGATTTGGGGTATTTCCCCCCAAAGAAGAGAAAGCAGCCCAAAGCTTTATCTTAATACTTCAACCCATGTGTGGCTTGTCCGACATGTGAGCCCATGAGGGTCTCCCTTTCCTCACAGCTCTTCAGAGCTGCTGCTGCAGGACGGGGCCATTGCTGTCCCCAGCTGCTGCCCAGGACAGAGGCAGCCGCGTCTGCCGCCCGCCCCTCCCGGGGCCCGGGG